ACAATCAAAGAGATGTTTAACACACCTGATATAAAAGGATTTTTTAAGATGCATTTATAAAGTTTTCAAAACTTAAAACAAATCAAAAATTTTTTAACAGTTTCACCTCGGGCTGCAGCTTCATCCTGATTCATTGTGGTTTTCGGTTCTTTACCAAATACTTCAGCTGTAATTCTTTTAATGGCTGGAATCCGAGATGTACCACCAATTAATTCAACTGATTCTATTTCTTCCGCCTTTTTTCCGCATTCTTTCAACAAGTTTGTTAGTAAAATACGTACTCTATCCAAAAGTGGTTCAGCAAGCTCCTCAAACTGAGAACTGAAAGAAGTACACAAATATTCATGAATCTTGAAAAACAAGGCCAAAACCCAAATTTTCATGTTTCAGTCATTTAACTGAAAATTGAGATGCCTACCGTTGCATTTTTCCAGTGACATCCATATCATTCATAAAACATTCAATATTTAACGGTATTGCCGTGCTATTGGTTGACATCTGTTTTTTAATCTTTTCACATTCATCCAAAAGCCGGTACCAAGCTCGTTTGTTACTTGACGCATCAATCTTGAAATCATAAAAAGAATATCGGTTGGCATACTATTTTACATGATTTTTTGTAGAAGATTCTAACGGAACCTGCTAGAATTCGTTTGAACAAAGTCTAAGAGATATATTTCATCAACTATACTTTATAATTTTCACGAAATAGCTTGCAAAAGTAATCTCGTATAATGTCGTCGAAAGCTAGACCACCAACTTCGAGATCATAGGTAGAACCAAGCATCTGAAGTGAAAAATACATGAGTTGACCATTAATTTAGATATCTTTCCTTTGCAAACTTCTAATAACAGATGTACTTTAGCAATCTAGTAAGTTGAAAGATGCCATATGGAAAATATGAATGAATTTATGCAGAAATATCATCTTAAATTTTGGCATAACATAAGATGTAATTTTTAATGATGCATATTAAACATCGATAATAAAAACCTAAAAAAACAATGAAATAAACATACAACAAGTTTACTCTTGTTGTACGCAACAAGAGTAGCCTGCGCAGCAGAATGTCCTATGTCAACAAATGCCACAATCCTTGGAGATTCATTTTCTGCTGGTAGATCTTGTTTATATATGCCTAAAATTCACACTTATTCATTTCTATCGATATACTACCCATAATCTTCGTCAGGAGAGATAGCAACACAGAGAGTTCCTTCTGGAAAGAAATATGTCTGTGGCATATTAAAAAGTTTGTTTACAAATATGACGCTTTTGAAACTATGGACAAACGTATTAAAGTGAGATGATACACTAACCAACTATCACAGAGGAAAAATTTTGAGACTCTGCATTTCGAGACTTTGAAGAAAATCAGAACACGAACCTAAGCAAATGGAAAAAGAGAATCTTTAAACAAAACAAATCAGCTAAAAACCGTCTGACTGAAAGCCGAAATCGCGCCTAAAGATTGTATACAAGTACTGCAAATATGCAAATAAAAAGTTCTTCACCATATGCGAGAGCTACAGCTGTAGTTTCGTTGAAAATTTGTAAGCAATTCAAGCCAGCTATTCGCACAGCTGTCAGCAAAGCACGACGCTGGACATCAGCGAAATAGAATGGGACCTGAACTCCGATATATATCATTTCATAAAGAATTACAGACTCAATGAATGTAATCCTAAACGTTGAGAAAACTGCAACAATGAACTCGCAAAAAATGGATAGAAACAAATCATCGTAAAAATAAGAATCGATAGAATGAAATAAACAAGATTTCCAAATGAATACGAAATTATATCAGTCAAAATCTGCAATCGTATACACCACCACCACACAAAATAAAAGTTTACCGAAATAACACAGTCTGCCACGACTCTGATGCCTGGAGAATTATTTTCTGTGATGTCTTTCAGTTTGACTAAAAACATTGCCACTACTTGCTCCGGTGTCAATATACGTTCTTCATTGAAATATTCTATCTTAAAAATTCTTTTTTTGACCAGAAAATTGCATTTTAATTTAAAAACGAAGAATATGTCAGTAGCAGAGTTCAAGCATAAGCGAACTCGCAATTTCCCAACTGTGAAACATTTTATGTATAAGACATTAATGAAAGTCAGTATTTAAAAACAATTCAGAATCAGTTCTGAAAATAACACACCTTCAATCCAATATCATCATTCGGCAACTGAATCATATCGCATGGTATGAAATTCCTATATTTCTGTGTGACTGGATCGGTGAATTTCCGGCCCAGCAAATGTTTGAAATTAATGATAGTATTTCTGATGTTGGTATTCAACTGTTGCCGTGCAGCAACACCCATCACTCGTCCTCTAGAAGTAAAAGCCACACATGACCTGAAAGACAGAGCATAATAAATGAGTGATTAAGATGGAATTTAAGCACTGAACTTTTTGGATAAAATTTTTTAGTTCCACGAAACAGTGCCTAAATTTCCTAAATCAAATATGTTATTGTTTGGATGAAAAAAGAAAACTCTACACAGATCTCTTTCCTTTACGTCTCATGAAAGAGACAGTAAAACTGATACTCTTCAATGCTCTTCAATGTTCTCAAAAAAACTTGAGTCAAAATTTTGTCTCCAAAATACAAAACAAGCGAAGCTAGATCCTTTACTCTGAAAGGATCCCAAAAAGTTATTTAAATGTTCATCTTAAACCATATAAAGCAGGGCAAAAAACTCACGGTGTAGCACGTAACGAATAGTCATTAGTGATAGTTTCAATACCACCTTGACGCGCGACAGCGATGAAGCTGTTTACATTGCCAAAATCAAAGCCCACGACTGACATTATTTTGTGTCAACTGAAAAGATTGTAAACAGTGATATTATTGATAACTTGCAACAACTGCACAGTATTAATTCATTTGTCGAAAATCCCGATAAAGTAAAACATACCAAAAACAATTACATAATTTACGAGATATTACTAATGCTAAAATAACAGCAAACAGCACTTTTAACACTAATATGATCACATCTTATGCTCCGCATGATTGATTTGTAAAATGCTTACAATAACCTTTACAACGAACTATGAGAGCCAGAAAGCATAAAATCAACGAAGTACATTCTTGCACCTTTCATTTTAGTACAAATTAAATATTATTTAACGCCTAACTTAAAGTGTGAAGAGTCAACACAACTTCACTACTCCATGTGTCTCGAAATTCAGTCATGTGCTTCCAGTAAATTTTCAAACCATGTTAATAAAGCCGATAAAACGTAGTCTCACCAATTGAAGCTGTAATAGTGGAAGGTTTTACTGCCTTTTTAAAGGAATTTCTCAATTTTTTGAAAAATTCAATTTACTGAAGTCCCAAGTACTTGTATAAATGAAAACAACTATAAAAATTAAACCAAACACTGACTGAAATATGCAGTGTAGTTTCCAGATCTACTACCGTTGAATTTGTGATGTGTCTAATTTACAGCTTGAAGTCTTGGAATTTTTTGATTCTTTTAACTTGTTACCAACTACTTTTCATCTGCATCCGTACTTTATTACGGGTAAAACAATTTAAGCACTCAATAGGCGATAGATAGTAAGCAAAAAAGCAAGCAACACTGACTTGTCTCAATTTCACGATGTCATGAACGGGCCGTATTAACCTATTCCTAGAGAGCGTCACATCTGAGCATTAGGGATCCTATGAAATAATTCGTGATGCATACTATTAATCTGATGACGTTCGCAATCGTGCAATGGCATAGTTTCTGTCCAAAAGCATACGTAAAGAGAGAAGTACGAAAGTTTTGATGTTAAACTGTCTTGATTTTTAGCTAATGTTATGCAATCTTTATTAGTCATGTCATATTAGCAATTGTAACGGCGGAAATACTGCAGCATTATCACAGGTGAACCATCAGAATATCCCCGAAAAGAATCAGTATTTTCAGCTTACTGCACCAATCGAACTTTTAATGAACTCCAATATATTGTCTGAGTGCGGCTAATTCCCTCTTGAAAATTAGAGATTAGGCTATTTCCTATATAAACATCCGTCGAGTCATTATGCGCATACAGATTTTTGCCTGATCTTTAGATGTCATTTGCAGTTATTAGCAGTCATTTAATATTATGAAAGTTTGCAATAGATTTACTACAATGAAATATACTTTCATCGATCATAGAAAGTTATACTTAGTCTTGTGGTATAAGAAATCAATAATTTAGTTCATAATATATTGATATCAACTTAAATAGTACATGACGAATTTTTACTGTTACCTGCTTTTCGCAATTGCAGACATAACATTGTCTGTTTATGAATGGACTGTTTATGGAAGGAACAAAAAAATTTTAACGGAATTTCAATCATTCATCTGCAGAAGTGAAAAAGTATTTCTTGAAATTGAGATTAAAAAAAGCCTGAGCGTAATTTTGTTAGATGATTTGTATCTCTAATGCCCATTAAATCCACAACTTACAAACTTGACATGCAAAGGAGCAAGTTGTAAACTAACCAAACAAGTTTAAAAAACACTGGATTTCACAGCAGATTACTGCAAATAATTTTATTCTTTTCAATGCCTGAAAGCACCTATAAAAATATCTTTCAATACTAAAGCATAAGTACGTAGTTTTGAGTAATAAGATGATTATATAAATACTATAACGATATTCACATTACTGACTCACGTAAGTTGCGTGAATTAAGATGAGACAAATATGTTTCTGATAAAGACCTATAATGACAATTCGAAAAAAAACTGGTCAATGCAACTAAAAATTAGAAAAGAAAAGCGGCAGTTGATGACATAAATTTAAAAAGTATTTCGTAGGGGCTAGCATATGGTATGGAAAAAGGCGACTCATAACGTGAAGCCATGACTGTCACTAACGTGAAACTTCTAGTCTACACACACGCGACATAGAAGTCACACAAGCAACTTCACTCGCGATTTAGAAGTTACGCGCAAGCAAATCCATAACTTACGTACAGGTTTGAGGTGTAAAATAGGGATAGTCCTTGTTACACGCAATACACATATGAGTAAGTAGAAGTCTCTTACTTGAGAGCAAACAGTTGGTAATAGCAACGAAGCTCCACCTAATTGATTTCGTCGCGAATGTTCCAGAACGCTGACAAATGCTGGCTCATTCTTTTATAAAGAGAGACAGACTGCAAAGATATAGCGTAAACAATGTGAAAACAATAGAAATAGAGAAAAAATGTAAGCGAGAGAAGAACAAGTGTGTAAAAGTTTTGTGGAAATTTCGAGAAGGACAGACAATATGCAAATCCTGCGTTTCCCTTTGCGAACACAATAAAATGTTTCATTTTTTAGAGTATTTGTGAATATATTTGAAGTTTGATTGCATTGATTACATTCTAACTGAACTACACGTTAAAGTTCACAGAGAGAAGAGAAGAAAGCCGTCTAGATGGTACTTCATATCATACACTGACACTGCACGTTCAATTTTTTAATTTTCAAATCAGAAATTGTAAACAATAGTAATTAATTAATCAATAGTTGCAATTAATTAAATAACCAAAACGTGACACTTTAAATTTGGTACGTACTTTAAATTACTAAAAAGTGACGCTTTATATTTGTTACGTATGTTATATATGTGCAGGTTGCGTTAAATGTGTATTTACGTATACGCGTATTTGTGTATACCTTTTTATGCTACTATGGAAATATATATTTTGATTTTGCATCGCATAATTTAACAGTACTGGATTCGTAGCGGAAATGGAAATTCGGCTAGTTACTTGTTGCATGAAGACAAACATTTTAACAACCTTTATTTGTCTGACGTGAATTCTCATGCTAAGGCGTATTGTATGACCTGAATGGTCGTTCAGACTAGTATTCATAAAACATAACATTAATTTTATTGCCTTTAAGTTATGAAATTCAGTATAAAATTAGAATTAGAAATTTTACAAACTTCGCAAGTAAAACTTACATTAAGTCTCCGTAAATAATATATGCTTCGAAAATACTTGAGGATTATCCACAAATCTGATGATTGTATTCACAAAATTTCTGTAAAAATGGTAATTCATTTTTGTTAATCAACTATGTAATGTAAGAAGATGGGACAAATTGTTTTTCGTGTGTAAATACATTTAGCGATTTACGCTAAAATTGATGATTTTCTTCTTTTCTTTATTATCCATTGAGATAAATTTTAAATACAAGAAGCGCTTGAAATGCTCAGGATTTTCTGTAATGTTTTCCTCTAATTCAATTTCCTTATAGATTTTTAAAATCTCATTAATTCGTTCTTGAAGGTCCAATCTATTTCGTCTTTCTCATTAATATTCCATTATAGTTGGAAATGGAACACTGCAATTCAGCAGAAAACGTTGTTGCTTTCCAAGGTATATTTTTAAATATTCTCTTCAATAATAAAGATTCTTAAATTATTTAAAATTAATGTTATGTCGCAAAAGAATTCTTTTTGTACTGCTCAATTCCAATTGATAATGAAGTGTTTAAGATTTTTCACTATGCCAAACACGGAATTAAGAGTAGACCAGATTCAGTGGTTGCAAAAAGTGGAACAAAGTTTGCATGCAATTGATATTATTGGAAGGAAATTAGTTACTGGACGTGCAACGTATAGAAATCCTGGTTCCGATCTTATTCTAATACAGCTTGAGGTTTTTGTTCTGCAACTTGTTATAATGACGATCTAATCTGATTCCATTTTTTATTCTCGCGTATCAGTTTTTTTCAAGGCATTTACTTTATAATTTCAGATATAAAAAGGAATTTAACGTGCACGGTAAACTTTAATTGATCTAGACTAATCAGTTAAGAAATTTGGAATGTAATCCTTTATTAATATCGTTAATAGTACAAAATAAATGTTTTTATCAAAAAAAGTGAAATAAGGGTCTTTGAAGTTTCAATATTTTCTGTTTCTGTGTTTCATAGATCTCGCTTTTACATTCACAATTGTTGTTTGGCGCAGGTGACAATTAAATCACTTATTTTTTGCAGATGTAATGGTAAATAATTTAATAATAGTCTGTGTTGTGTTATTGACAAAAATAATTTGTTCATTTCAGGCTAAATTAATTCGACATGCTTCACGTGTATGCTATTTGAATGAGCGCTATCGTGGTACTAAATATCCTTCACTTAATGATTGGTTAACTTATGTCAATTTGTTACCTACCGAAGTTGTTGCTGTTTTAGAATGCGTGCGAACATTTTGTGTTTTGATAACAATAAACGACAAACAGGTATAGCATTGCCATTCTAAATCTTAATTGTTTTTGTTAACAAACCAATTAATTATATGTTCAGTTTGTTGAACTAATTCGTTGAATTCAAAATGACTCGGGATATTCCAAAAGACATTAGAAACTTCCCTTAATACTTCTGCTTTAATGCTTTTTCAGCGGGGTGCTAGGAAATATTTAATCGCCAAAAAATTTTCGGTCTTCTTCATGCTGAAGAAGCATATATTTTATCGATTGTTTCTGTATGAAACTGCTAGTCATAGTTTTTGAAATATACTCAGCCTTGTACCAATAGTTTCAAATTGGTTTAGATGCAGTTTTTTGGAGTTTCTTCATTCTTTGTTTATTTATTTTTACTGTCTTTTAAAAAACTGTCTGGTGTTCATTCTGTCCGATTATTGTATCGCTGATGGTTAAATTTCATAGTACATTGTTTAGATTCACTGATTGATCTTATTATATATACTAAAAAATCACGATATTTAGCTCGGCAATGGAAATAATTTTTTCATTGTTGCAGCTTCTAGATATTAGCGAGAAGCTTCGATTTACCTCAAATGGCCGTCGCAGATTACGCAAATCGTCCTACTCATTGAGAAGTTACATTTCGAAATGGAAAGGTCCATAACATTTCATTGATGTTTAGATCTTTTTTTTTGATTTTTGAAAGAAATCTCATTAGATTTATTAAAATACTTATTTTCTAATAGGGAGATTTTTATTGTATTTTTTTGTAATATTCTATTCTGCTTGTTCTTTAGAACTGGTAGAATAATTATTTTTCTTTTCCTTGTATTTCTGTTCCTTGTCATATTTTCTCATTACCTTCAAAAAAAGTAATCATACTTGAGGAAGAGTGTCTCATCATTTGACATTTATGTAATATATTTTTGATCGTTTTTTGTAGAACATGCATAGTACTAAAAAGAATAAATGAAGAATGGATGGGCAGATTTTAAGTTTTAATGCTTAAGTATTTGTTACTCAAAACTACTGAATGAGATTTGCAGATGAGGGAAACGAGCCGATTCGTTCATTTGGTGACAGGGATTTATGCTGGATAAGTTTTGACCATTTAACTCCTGGCAGTACCAGAAGACATCCATTCGAAAGTACACTGGAATCCAATGCCAGTGATTCAGGCTCAGGTCAGATTAAATTGTTATGCAATGATAGATCAACAAGTATATATTAGTTTTTATTCCTGATCAGCTTTTTAGCTTTTTAGGGGCAGGTTCTTACATGTCGCAATCGTCACTTCCAACGACTACACCGCCGACTAGCCCGAGTGTTACGGTAATCAATGCAACACTTTCTAACACATTGAATGTTATTCCTAGGTCAGTCCAATATTTTATTTTGACTATTGTGATCAAGTTTTGGATTATCAACTTATTTTTGAATTTAAATTTAAGAGCTCTAGACATCAGGTCCAATATTTTGAAGTTGTACTTATGATATATCTGATTTATAATTCAAACATTGAGGATATTATAAGTCAAAAAATGTAAAAAAATTTTGAATGTTTTTTCATAGGAATGCGAATGAGAAATCATCTATCTCGAATCGTTTATCTACTACGAATTTACTGACAGATAGTTTGACACGCTCACATTCCCATGAATCTAATCTTCAGCATACTATCAACACTAGCAGTGGAATTATTGGACTGACAAGGTACATTAATATTCGTGTAAAACAAAAAAAATTTAGATGTCTCATTCAACTCATTAATGCTTGAAAATCATACGTTGTTATAAATAAATAAAATGTGATATTTTTTTTACTTGATATAAAAAATCGTTGAAAGTAGAGTCTTTACAATCAGTTTTATGGTATCTCATTCTGAATTCAGGTTGCTGTTACTCACTCGAATTGTAACATTTAAATAAAATGATTTAAAGAGTCTTATTGCTATATAAAGCAGAAAAGAATGCTAGATTTCTAATTAAAATTCAAGTTTTGATAATCTTTTTCTTGAGTTCACATTCGATCAATGATTGCTTATCGGTATCGAGTCATGGAGCTGTTTCAAGTCCTTCATCTTTACGTGCAACGTACATAAATCAAGTGGCAAGTAAGTTGTTTTGCTGCTAAAATTTGTTGAGAAGACAATCAAAAAGCAAGATTGCGTCAATTTTTGCAGACACTGTTCCTCGTATACCAAAAGCAGCTCGCGCTAAGCATTCTATTCCTCATCAGTGGCATCGGAGGAAGGGATTTCGTATTTCAACTGAAAACTGTCACTTTTGTCAACGACAGCTGAACTTCTTTACTGAATACGAAAAATGCAAATCATGCAAGTATGTTAGCTTGCTGTAAAAAATATTATCTTGATGTTCTCAAATCGCGCTGGAAAAAACATTATGATTTTTTGCAACTTTTCTGTAGATGGAAAGTGCATTCTCACTGTAAAGAAAAAATTGGCGATTCATGCGGTCTCACACCAGCTTATCTCAAACAAGCACTGAAGGAAATGTTCATGAAAGATACTGGGAACGTAAGTTGTCTTGCTAACTCTGAAATTTTTGGAATGGCTAATAGAAAATAAAATTATTTCTTGCAATAAAAGGCTTCTGCATAATCAGCGTTCTTCGTTTTATTGCTTGATTATTAATATGTAATGATGAATATTGAATCTAATGATTCATTACGGGAAGTACTGTAGACGGGTATTTTTTTTACGTTTGTCCAATACTACAGGACGGGTGGACACCATCTGAGTATACTAATTCTGCTCAACAGGCATTTCCTTTTGATCCAGTAGATAGTTCATCAAGTACGAATAGTTCTGCACCATCAACACCAGCTTTTCCAGCTTTACATTCAAGTAATTTTGTATTTTCATGATTAAATGAACTTGAATTAAAAAGTAAATGGTATGAAAAATGAGAACTTTCAATTCTTTAACATCATTCATTTGCTGAAAGTGTAGAAGATGATGCATTGTTTGCAGCGGTCGTTCCAACGACCAGTCCATTCCTGTTACCATCAGCACCTCCATCTTCCTACAAAAACAACTTTGATTTTCCGGAATCGGTGCCAGAGGTGCCGGATATTGTTGTAGAAAGTGGTTGTAGGTGAGTTCTCTACTATATACTCATCATAATGCAAAAATGGCAATAGACTTTTTTTTTCACCTCAACAGTATGAATAGAAATGATCTATATGCTTTTACATTCCGATTTTAAATAATAAAAAAATAATCTCTCGAATTTCTCTGCTTCTTTTTCGTGCTTCATCCAATAAAATGTTCCAGTGATCAGCATCGTCTTATTTCATCGCAAGGTTCAGATTGTACTGTGAATTCTTATGGGACAGTTGTTTTGGATAATCCTGAAAATTCTGAGAGCACTTCACTTATTGATTCATCAGGAAGTAACAGTTCCTCTGACATTCGGGTAAATATTTCTGGTTTTTTTTATTTTATGATGAAATTTTTCCTAAAAATTTATGAGATTTGTGATCACACTGTGTGCTATTTTCAGGAAGAAGTTGGTAGTCTAAAATTGAGTCCGAATTTTGGTTGCTCACTTAATCGAGATAGATGGAGTAATGGAACCATACGTGTGCCTAATAGTTGGAACGATTTCACTATTCCATTCAGTCAAATAGAATTCAAAAAGCAAAGTTTGATAGGGAAAGGGCGTTTCGGCGAGGTGTCTTTTATTTATTTTTTGCATTGTACGAAATATACTAACGGGTTTGATTATTCATTTTTATAAATTAGTATCCAGTCATGTCATTCATTAGTAAGTTAATATAATAAATATAAAAGAGTTTCCATTCTTCTAGGTTCATAAGGCTAATTGGTATGGCGATGTAGCAGTAAAGTTATTAAATATGAGTCACGTAGACGAGGAAAAGCAGTTGGAAGCATTCAAAGTGATTTTTCCCTCATAAACTTAATTTTTTCAGTTATTTATGCCATTTTCTTGATCGTACGTTAACACTTGAAATCAAGTCAAAATAATACTTTCAACTAACACTAAATGAGAATTAATTTTGTAATATCTACTTTTGTACATTCATTGTGAATTGTGATTGTTAGGATGATTAATATCTAAAAATTTGAACATCTTGCAGATAGAAGTAGCACCATTCAAGAATACTCGGCATGATAACATAGTACTTTTTATGGGTTATACTTTTGACCTTCACAAGCTGGGTATTGTTATGTATTACTGTAAAGGACGCCCGCTGCACACGTTACTTCATGACCATTACGAAAAATTTGATTTCAGTCAAGTGGTTCATTTTGCCACCCAAATATGTCAAGTGAGCCTCATTCGTAGGAATGATAGTAATATCAGAAAAATATCTTTACTGAATTTCCCACATTTTACTGTTTGTAATTCTGGTAACCAAGCAAATATATGGACGTATTTACTACATTTTCAATCAGCTTTATTACTTTTATGTTCAGGGAGTGTCTTATTTGCATACAAAGAAGATAATTCACAAAGACTTGAGAACAAAAAATATTTTTGTCGAAAATAGAAATCGAATTGTTCTCACTGATTTTGGCCTTTTCAATACCAAACGACTCGGTCAACCTTACAGGTGTGAATTAACAATATTACTGAGGATTTAATTGGTATTTTTGTGTTTGTGAACTTTTATTATAACTTGAAAGCATTATGGAAAGTCAGAAAACCATGCGAAATAAAAATATTTGAATTATGCAAATTTAATGTTGTCTTTAGAAAATTTTTGAATTAGTTTCGTATGTGATTATTTTCAAAGATGAAACTTGATTTTTCAATAAAAATGTTAAGGTTATTAATGATATATATTCTCAATAAAAATGTTAAGGTTATTAAATTTTTTGTATTAACTAACAATTTAAAAAATTATTTTTTATATGTCAAAATTCCAAACAAACCATTTATCTCAAAATTTCAGTAAAAACTTTTAAATAATCTGATATTCAGGAGTCACACTCTGATCGTACCTCAATATTGGTTGTCCTATGTTGCTCCTGAATTACTCAAAACGTTATCTTCTGACTTAGTCCAATTGTCATTTACCGAAAACAGTGATGTCTATGCATTTGGGTATGTTGAGAAAAAATTCATTGTTGCATTTTTTGAGAAAATATAATTTTTATTTCATTTTTAGGACCATTTGGTACGAACTGATGACTTATCATTTCCCATTTCAAGATGCTCATCCTGATATCGTGATTTGGAAAGTAGTGTGTGGTGTTGAAATATGTCTTGGTGACGTAATTATTCCTCAGGAAATTAAGGTATTACTGTTATTATTATATATGGTAATATTTCTAGAACTCCTTCCTACCTGTTTATATATATATATATATATAGGTATTGATTTGATATATATATACGAAAGTTATTCTTTTTTCTGCATTATTGATTCTGGTGTTGGGTCGTATTTTGGCATTACCGCTGCACTCGCTCAGCGCTCAGTTCTGCTGTGTGATCTCCGCTGCTGCGTCTTCGTCGAATGAAATGCTTTCGAAAATCTTTTTGAGCACTATCGATTGAGGGTTATCACATACGGAATTATTTTCGCTCTGCATTTCACCTGTGCCTGGAGTTTATTAGCCAGTAAATCATACTTTTCTTTTTTCTCGGTCTGTGCTGCAATCGACCTACCCTTACCAGTGATGCCAACTTCTATCAAGAGTACTTCGTATCGCTTCTTATTGTACATCAAAATATGCAGTCAATCTGCTTTTATTCAAATCTTTCGTCTTGAATTTTGAATACACATCAGGACTCATAACTTTTTATTTTACTCATATACTCTCACACGCTTTCTGTTGTACTTTCAGACTTTCACACGCATGTACAGAGCCTTATGATAGTCACGTTTGCGAGCAAGTCTGGGATTCTTACTCCTCATACACTTCTTAGGCTCCCTCAGGTTTTCCCTTTCACTGGATAAATACCGCTTTATAGAAGTTATTCAATCTTATCTTATTTACTGTTTTGCCTTTCACCTCGATGGCTTCTCCTACCTTGTCATATTTCATAGCCCTGGAGCTATCTTCCAAGATAAGTCATTGACTTGAGGGAATGCTGTGTGGCATATTCACCCGTCGATTTACCGCTCTAATTATAAGCGGGTCAACATTCTCCGAGATTATGTTCTGCACCCACTTTGGTCTATCTGAGTCCTTGGTTTCTTGCTTCAATTCAAGGAACTTTTGCTTTACGTTTAGATAAATCTTAGGGTCATGTAGCGTATTGTCCTTGTCAATTATCTTGAGATGCTTTGTTGTTTCCTCTAAAAACTGCCTCTGCGGGCACGACAACTTGCAGTGTTAGTGATCGTAGCATTCGCTTGTTTCTCCAGTTTTTGAAGGCTAATCGCACACACGAACTTTCTGCAATACAAGGAACGACAAAAAGGCCATCCTCCAACTCGGTATTCTCCAAAACGGTAATGAACTGCTTTCAGCACATAGCCAAGCTAGCTGCTTTGCAGAATCTCGATTCCTCGAATAAGTGCTTCGAGCGTAATCATCCTGCTGATTCTTGATTCCACTGCACTTGCAAAGTGCTTTCTTATATCTTCTCGGAGCTTTTACAACATTTGGAGATGTCATATTGTTTTTACTATGGTTGCAGATGCGGTTTTTCGCCGTTCATTCTCCATTTTCTTCTCGGACTTCTGATATCCTGACTCTAAGACAACATAGCATTCTTCTTTCAGGTTTCGAACTGTTTTTGCACCAGTCTCTTCTTCCTCTCTATTCATGGCATGCGTGTCATTCTTCTCTACCTTTTTCCCTTGTTTCATCTTCGTTCCTTCAGAAGTACTGCAACAAGGGTTGCATTAGAATTACCGTTATGGTCCTTTACTTTTTCTTGGAAGTCGCCTGTGATGCGGAAGTTTTTTCAGAAACCTGTTCTAATCCATTAAATATTTGATCAGATTGATTGCTGAAAATGTTTTCTTGTCTTGCTACTATTACCACCGTTCTCTCGGTACCATTGCGTTTGCTATTGTAACTGATTCATTTACTTACAAGTACCATTATGATCTCTATAAAGATTAAGGTAGAACAAAAAAAGAAAAATAGGTACCAGAAATAATAAAGAAATATTGTGTTCCTTCCAAGGCACCAAGCACAATCTGTCATCGACGATTACTCGAACTCCTAAAATATATATGATTTATTCGATAGTTATATTTATTTTTTAATTCTATTCATTTGTTTACTTGCTATTTACAAAAAAGGTAATCCACTCTGAGTATTAAAAAACTATCAAACATTTATCTTCTTATTTTCTCAGAAAATTTTGGTCCAGTGCTGGAACTATCTACCAGATGAAAGGCCTACTTTTCGTGATATTTCGGTGATGCTAGAAAGGCTTCCTAAAAAACGACTTGCGCGTAGTCCTTCATTCCCGGTTTCAAGAAGCTATGAATCTGTATTCTAAGCCATCGGGAACTATGCTACTTTCCGTATACATAATTTATGCCTTTCATTCCTATCCTATTTTTATTCTCTTGCACTCTTTTTTGACATTATGATCTTATATTTATTATACTTTAAAGCTTTCACTTCCGAGGCCTCTTCTAAAGTATTTTAGTGATATTTCTGCTAAGCATTTTTAAGCAACTGAGCGGTAGATTCTGAAGAGCTCATTATGGTAAGGGGCATCTGACATCCAATATTGCTCTGGAACAGAATTCGCAATCTGTTTGGTTAATTTTATGTACGGATGGTAAGGATATTGCATCTTGCTCAGTCTCTTTCCATATTCTGGGTGCTTGACTAAGCAACTAACCAAAAACTGCGACTTAGATACCGCCTTTTGCTGCCAGAGATACAGATTTAATTTACCTTTTCTTAGTGTTGCAATAGTGTTTTAATGAAGCTTCTGGAGATATAAACCCTGCATTATCAGTATTATTGTTATATTAGTGAGGGATTGCTTTCGTATGTATTATTTGTTTTAATAGGATGTTCCATATTTATCGACTGCTGCGCGCTTTGTCAGCTGTAACTTTCCTTGAATAGAAGATGATGCATTGTGATTGATTTGCACTGACAGTTTTAAAAATCTCAAAAGTAAATAACAGAGAGCTAATATAAAGATAGTAAGGACTGGATTATGTCTTTTTCAAATGTAATCATTAAGAACCGTAGCACAAATTCCTGTTCATCAGGCCTTCACAAAAAAGTCAATGCTTCTAGGATTCACAATCCCAGAGTGTTAGTGGTTTACTTGCTTCTGAATCAGTAATAAAATGTGAATGGGCTTGAATAATTAAAATAAAGATTGCACCGAAGGGAGACTTCTGGTACTTGATTACATTGGTGGTAATACAACACAATATTAGACAAAATAAAAACAAAAAATGTGGAGATGCTGCTGTTCAATATTTTTTTGGCTTTAGTCGCGTACAGAAGTTTCAACATTTTTCAAAAAGTTGATAAAGTATGCTTCTAAAACCACTTGAGATGTCTCTCTATTTTTTACCAAGTACGGAAGGTTCGACAAATTTAGGCTTGAACCATGTAGGCCTTGGCACACCTAATTCAACAATTCGTCCCATACATCTTGGACTGGTGTCTTGAGTTTCTGTACCCGAACCATCCCGTGGATCATCTTCGAATTTCACATTTGTTGACTGCCGTTCACCAATATATGGATTATATGCCATGATTTTCGACTTCATTAAATTAGTTAATTCGTGCACTTTTCTGTAGCAGACAGCTGCAATTTTGTAGTGCAAAGTTTTGGTTTCAAATATGCGCGATTTCACTTTCGCAAAAAACGATGTGCTTCAATATAATTTCCAGTACTAGAAAAACCCAAAAAGGAAAATGCACCTAATTTATCCGTCCTCTTTTATATTTTCAGCTAGCAGTGCATACAGTCAATTGTTTTGATATTTCTTAGTTTTCACCAAGATTTCATATTCGATTAAAATACTTTACCGCATATTTTGCCAATATCATGGTAGCTTCCACAACTCTGACACACTTCAAGATTGAATTTTGGTTGCAAGGTTCGATTTCTATCAAATTTGCGCGTTACTTTCTTTGCTGAAAACTACATTTTTCTAACCCTTCACAACTATGTGTTGCATGTATACTGAGAGAACAAAAGATTTCATACAATCCTAAGAGCAGAGTATTCCATAGTTGGGAAGCAAGCATATGCATTAACATGAGTAAAAGCTACAGAGTACCCAACCTTGGCAAGTTCTAATTTTGGGAACACCAAAGGCAATTCTGAATTTCTCAATCACATCTTCGATACTTTTGCAACTTCTTTCGTTGCTACTGTCCTCCAGCTGAAATTCACCACAAACGGCAAAAGCTGGCTCCAACGTATCAAAGCACCGAACTTGATCGTAGTATCGTAAGAAATACTTTCTGAAGCGCTGCATTTCGCTAAAATACTATCTAATGGTGTAAGAGCAACTGAACTATATCAGATAAATCTACAGATATAAAGATCCTGAATTTGGTACATCTTGCTAAACAACACCACAAGATAAGACAATTAATACTCAAAAAGTCACCCAGTGAAAAATGTGGGGAACCACGATGCAAAACGTTTTCGAACGACCACAGAAAACAGCTAAGTAAATTTTTTTTGTGTTTACAGAAAACAGAATTTCAATGATATTACAAGACACCAGTAACAATGATTATTAAGAACTATGATTTGCATCTTGACAGGAAAACTATAAAAACATTGCGATCGTAATTCAAAAATCGTCATCATCTTCTTCTGCCATTTCTTTAGCGAATTCTAACTCCTGAAAAAGCCAAATCTTAAACCCCTTTCACGAAAAATTTATCATATGCAACAAAATATTCGCAAAATCATTACTTGTCTCTCACGTTCCCTTTGTTCTTCAATAGACTCTACGACACCCTTACCTGCCGTCGGGGGATAACGCAAAGCTTTTACTGCTTGATTATGCAACTCCAAACAGTATCTAAAAAAGCATTTTCCAATCTACACTGAATAATGACAGAAATTAATAATAATAAACAAAGTTCTTGTTCACCAAATAAAAAATATAAGACGACTTTTTATAGTATCATATCTTTTTTTTTTAAAACAGGAAACTACAATTATTATTAAAGAATAAATTTAATGTGGCCACGCAAGCAGTTATGACACGAGTTTAAATAAAAAGCTTCATCATTATACTGAATTCAGCAACAGCAAAAAATTTCAAGGAATGACATTAAAATAATGACACCTCTTTTGAAACTTATAAACAACTGTTAACAAAAGTTACGTTATACCCTTCATATATATGAAAATGCCTTATATGTTAATAAACCCTAATTTTTGCACTATAAAAATATACTTATTTAACGTTTTACTGAACCAAAGATCACTCACCGAATGCGAGTATCAAAATGCCACTGAGGCTCTGTGGTACGATAAACATCTTCTGTCTCTTTCGACTGCATGTATCTCTCGGATGAATTATGCAAGTCAAAAGAAATTGTCGCTTCGATACCACCATCTTTTATTGCCTATATCGTTTAGTGAATAATTAAGCATTTTGATTAGACACTACCTTGAAATCTTCAAAATCCTAGAAAATCACTTAAACTTGCCTTAGCAACTAAATATTCCGCTTCTTGATCTGTATGTAGAAGCAATTTCTTACAAATATCTTTCATCAGTATGGATGAATAAGCAGTGCTAATTTGACGCAACGCTGTTTTTATAACATTTTGACGGAGACGAACAATTAAAGTCAGCGTTTCATCAGGTTCAAAAACATGTTTAGCATGCTTATTCAACACTTTGTTAAACAGTAACAGATCACCCAAACGAACAGCTGAAAGCAATTGGTTGAGAGGGAGAAAATTGTGACTTTTTGGATAATACAAAGTCAATAAAATATTTGCAACAAAATCAATGCTTTAAAAGATTATAGTGTTGCTGAATAAATCGCAGAAAATTCTCTTTTTTTCAACACATATATACCTTGAGTAAGTTCTAAATAAGGAGTAAGTGTTTTTCGATGAATTGGCAGACGGAACACGGATCGTTCAGGGATTTCTCCTTGTAACAAACTAATGACAACAATCCATTTTTGCACCTACAAGTTTTCTATGTGCACATTATTTTTCAAAAAAAAACTGAAATGTCCTATTTTTTTCGTTTCTTGACTATAAAAAATAATTTCTACATTTTGTTTGAAACCAATAGCAGCATCTTGCGGTGCTTTACGAATTGCTTGCATAAAATAACCAGCCGCAGCGGTATAGTCTAGTTGCATTGCTTTGATTCGGCCTTGGTAATAAAGAAAACGTGCCAGATCATTATTTGATGCAGCTTCAGGAAATGTTACCTATGAAAATAAATAACCACTATGTTATAAAAAATGATTTATATTATGTATTTTTATTTTTGTTGTATGTTCTGTATTTGGAAATATCAATTTATTGAAAAATTTCCTAAATTATGTTACAAACATGAGTGCTATATATTCCTTTAAATGTTTTTAATAAATAACTTGACAGAAATAATTAATTACCAACCTTAGATACGAGCATTGCTGCAGCATCATAATGTTTTTCAAGCAAATAAGCACGCAAAAGACAAACAATTAACACTGCTTGTGAATCATACTGTTTACGGACTGTAGCTGTCCGCAAACGACCATTTAGGTAACTAAAAAATATATAATCACGTGTGAAAATTTATCACAAAAAATAAAAATCTTGTGAAACCTAATGGAAATTAATGGACAACTATGACAATTTCTGATAAAAATTTCAAAAACTTACGCTCTTAACTGATATAGTTTATTTTTTGTTTCATAAATAAGACACAAATAGAAAAAAGCTTTCGCAGCAATAGAATCTAGCGTACGTTTTTCGTGGTGATCAATCCGCATAATAAGTCCTTCTACACACTGAAAATATAAATCTTGAGATTTGAAATCATCTAGAAAAGTTGCTTCTTTTCTTCGCAAGACTAGAAATTTATAATACAAATACTATGAAGTACCTTTTCTGCTTCTTCTATTCTTTTCTGATCAACAAGGTGGAGCAAAACAAGTAGATGAATATAAAGTTCGACTTCCGGAGGTGCTCCAGTGCTCGACTGAATGCCGGAACGTCTTAAAGGTCGGGGTGAACGACCACCCTTACTAACATCCACCTCCATCTGAATAGGCAAAACTACTTACATATATTTGTTTGACATTGCAGCAAACCTTCTCAAATTCATAGAAAAAAGAGCAGTTCAGTAAAAGTTTTCTCTTTTTATTCTAATGCTGCCTATTAGTTAGTGATGAAAGCCTAAACTAGTACAATTGATATTAATTTATGAAAAACAACAAGTGTGAATACCGGTTGCACAAGAGCCGAAACATCTGGGGTGACAGAAAGCCATGATAGCAGTTGCTCCTTGATCAGTGGCATCGAAGACAATTGTAGTGTTATTAATTTTGAAAGCACATTCCCATTTATTTGTTTTCGAGTTTTATGCAAGAGCTGAATCATTCGTGAAAGTACGTGCAATTCACCTTTCTCCAACTGCAAGCACCATTCTCGTAAATCTAAAGTTGAGTTTAAATATGAATATATGAACTTTCGGTCATGCCTCTCAGTCCATAAATTTGCCTGCTGCGTTTCTTAACGGTCCTGGAGCTTAGAATTAGCGTTTGTTAAAGAATTCGCACAGTTTGTTGAAGAATCACAATATTAGTTAAGAAACAGTGAAATGAACACTGGTTTCAATTGTTTGTTATGAAAGGTTTCGTTATTTAACTTTTCATAATTGCACGTACATATAAATAATTACTCTATTTTCGTACTTTTCCTAGTTATGATTACACTTGCTTTAGTGAAACCGATGAAAATACGTGTTCCCATCGGTTTTTAGCAAACTTCATAGCGTTTTCAAAAACTAGCTGAATATTACACAGATAATTTTCTACCCAATATTAAGTAGTCTTTCGTCTATCTAATGTTAGTTGATGCTCACTTTCTAAAACAACAGAATCTGGATCTTCTGCTTTGTTGATGCCAATTTTATCATTTTCTCCTTTGGCATCACCACCTTCCTCTATTTTTTTCTGTTCATCACTAGAATTACTCCTCGATTCTTCTATTTCCATTTCTGACACCATTTTATTCTGAAACATTTAATTAAAGAGTGATTCCAAAGAATCGTTTTTAGAAAGCTAATATACATTTCGATTAGTATCAAAAAAATAAACTATTAAGATGCAGGAGAAAAACATGAGCATTAGAATGAGCAAAAATACAAATTATATTTCAAATACTTAACAAAATAAGCACTACCTATTTATCTAAACACATATTTGTACCAAAATTTAATAAATACGGAGTTCTCAGTGAAATAATAAATATAAAAATTGAAACACGAAATTACGAAAGCACACAACAGATTGCCACCAAACACAGACATTAAGACGTAAAAGCATACCCCACTCTTTTTCGAACAATCAGTTATTTCGCTACATTAAATAAAAAGTTAGCTATGATGCGTTTTTATTTAAGGAGAATTAGGACGTTTAAGAAAATCAAAAATGAGTATCAGAAAAAGAAAAAGGGCATTCGTTATGACCATGCCCTGTTACGTTTGATGACCATGCATACTTAGACTGGATAGTAATTATAAGTTAATTAAGAGAACGTTGACTGCTAATTATGTTCTCACGTGATTAGTGAAATTTTGATTGTTACAATCAGTGTTGCGTATCGCTCTTAAGGCACATAATTATACTCTTTGATATATAGTTTGTGTCATCAGATTTATGAGCATTACTTAACGTGACATACGTAAACGATGATTAATTAATTCTGTCAATGAGTAATTTCTCTTATCTTCCGCTTCTCCGATTTCGTGAATCGATATTTCGTCAAGATATTATTTCATCATTAAAAAACTTCATTCACATTTCCTGTCGATTCAGTCAGGTGATTTCTGATCATTATTATCACTAATACATTTGTTCGAAAATAAAGTTCGAAATTACTGAATTAATTGATTGTTAATAATTATCAGTTCCACACGATATGATAGAGCTTTATTTACTTCTTTTTATGCAGAAGTGAATAAAGCAAATCATGCTTTTAAGACAGAAAGCAACATGTTATTTTTTCATCCGGCTAATTATTGTTGAAATTGTTTTCCTGCGTACGTTAATGACGTGCGAGATATCAGTATAATTATTAAGTTATATTGTTTGCTATGTTCAGGGCAAAAAGTGTGATTATCGATCGAGACGAGAAAATTATTTCAAAAAAAAAAATCGAGAACGCTTGTCGGTATATCTGTATAATATGGCATCACCACAAATCGAAGAGGCAGTTTTACTCCGGTTTTTTAATATTATCACAGATAATTCCGAGCAGAGTTCAAAGTTTTTCAACTTTAAAGGATGTAATTTTGAAATACATGATTCACTTACAGTTTTAATTTGAGTGACAGAATTTATAAGCCTATGCGAGAAATTATTATATTTTTTAGAAGCTTGCACCACTTCGTTCAGCAGTCAAAGAGTACGGGGATTTGATACGTACCCTGAAGGAAAGTGGTGCTCCAAAAGCTGATATCAATCTAGCGGTTTTGGAATTGAAAGCTCGAAAGAAGAAACTGGAGGAGAGTGAATTGGCATTAGTCCCCAGAGATGTTACTTTTTTCGATCGCTTAAAATTCGAAGATCTTTTGAAACAGCGTTTCTTCTTTGATCAGTCTTTTGCTATTTATGGAGGTATATCTAGAATTAATTTATCCGGATATTAACTGTGAGCGCTAGTCTGGAATGTATTGTTTCTATAGGTATGGCTGTGTCTCTCGTTTTTACTTAAAAAAAGTAATAAGTAACAAATTTTCTGAAAACTTGTTGAAGCCATTAAGATTTTTTGATTTGTTTTTTACCGAAAATTCTAAACTATTTCGCTTTTACTTATCACTATTTATCCGCTCAAAATATTATATCTACAGGTGTAACTGGTTTATATGATTTTGGTCCTATGGGATGTGCTATGAAAACAAATATGATAAATCTTTGGAGGAGACATTTCGTCCTTGAAGAAAACATGCTTGAAGTAGATTGTTCTATACTAACACCAGAAGCTGTACTAAAGTAAAAGTTTTCGAAATTAACTTTGTTATGTACGAACTAATTATTATCAGTATTCCTTTCGCCTGTATTATATGATTTCAACTCTTTCATAGTGTAGATTATTCTTTTTTGTTTCATTATGTTTTGGTTATATCAGTTAATTTTCACTGTTCTTGCTGCTAATTATACATTCGTTTACAGAGCATCGGGACATGTTGAGCGATTTTTAGATTGGATGGTAAAAGATTTAACAACTGGTGAATGCTTTCGAGCTGATCATTTAATCAAAAATTTTGCAGAGAAAGTGTGTCAAGTACGTAATTTTTATCAGTGAAAATTATTCAATAATTTATAGCAGTTTTTGGATCAGTGGAAGCACATTTCCGTGACATATTTTTTTATCTCTTGAGTACTGTGTAGGATAAAAAAACATCAGCTGATCTGAAAGAAGAATTAATGGACGTAATCGCAAAATTGGAAGGCTTCAATGATGCTGATATGCATGATGTCATTAGAAAGGTACAAAGTTTTTCAATTTTCATTTTTGCATTTATATTCTTTTGAAGATATTTTTCCTTTCTGTATAAAAATTGTTTATAGTATAAAATAAAGTCCCCAGTCACTGGCAATGAATTATCAGAACCTATTGCTTTTAACTTGATGTTTCCGACAGTGATAGGGCCAACTGGCGACTTTAAAGCATTTTTGCGACCAGAGACAGCGCAAGGAATCTTCGTTAATTTTAAGCGATTGTTAGAATTTAACCAGGTTTATTGAATTTCGAATTTAATCTGTAGTTAAGACTTTAGTAATTTTATATTGTATTGCTCTTAAACATGCTCATTTACATCATTTGAATTTTTTCACTACGAAACTGATTAGGAAACTGCATTTAGAAACTTTAAAACTAAATTTTTACTCTAAGGATAATATTAACATGGGTTTTTAGGGTAAATTACCGTTTGCTGCTGCTCAAATTGGCTCTGGTTTTCGGAATGAAATCTCACCTAGACAAGGTTTACTACGTTTACGCGAGTTCACGATGTGCGAAATTGAACACTTTGTAGATCCATCTGATAAAAGTCATCCAAAATTTGAGAATATAAAAAATTATGAAGTGCTGCTGTTATCGAGTTGTAGTCAAATGGATGGTATGCCTGCACAGATAGTTTTTATAGGAGATGCCGTTGCTAAGGTATGATTTGATTATTTTGCTTTTGCATGTTCTTAGCAGAAATATCCTTTATTCACTTCTTTTCTAAAGGTATAAAATGCGAGATATAGTTAGTAGAAGGGACAAAAATTAAGTATATTATAAATATATATATATATATCAGAAATTTTAAAGTACATGTTGATTCTTCTTATTTGAAGTTTTTATTGTATTTATTCTTCATTTTCAGTATGCATTAGTTAGTTTTTATCTTTATAGAAAATGATTGCCAATGAAACTCTTGCTTATTATATGGCTCGAGTTCACAAATATCTTGTCCGAGTTGGAGTAGATCCAAAAAGGCTACGATTTAGGCAACACTTATCGAATGAAATGGCGCATTATGCCTGTGTAAGCTATTTATTCATAAGAAATTCTCTTTAATAGGTTAATTGAATTTTGTCATATTTGAATCCTTCATCTTTGTTCTAAAATTCATCATTTCGTCAGTTTGAAATATGAATTTGGTTGAAATACAAAAGTTGTATAATTTTCGGTATTAGTTTTGTTTTACATTCCGCATTTTCTGCTTTTCTGCTTCTAGGATTGCTGGGATGCTGAAATCCTGACATCATACGGTTGGATAGAATGTGTTGGAGTCGCTGATCGAGCATGTTACGATTTGCTGCAGCATTCTAAAGCTACTGGGGAAAAGTTGCTGGCGGAAAAAGTTCTCGATAAACCAAAAATCGTTCAAGTTGTAGAAGTGGTGCCTAATAAAGCGGCAATTGGAAAAGTTTATAAAACTGAAGCGAAACAGGTAGTTTTCATCGTTGCCTTGTTTTTTTTAATAATTCATATAGATGTCATATTTCAGTATTTTTTGTAGTTAACGGAAAGTGATGTATTTGAGCATGCTGTTGTCATGGGCAAAGATAAGACATGTTTTTATAGTTAAGTAATTTAGCTGCTTTTTAGATTTTTGCAACATTAGAACAACTTACTGTCGACAAAGTTGAGGTGTTGGAACAAGAGTTGAACTCTATAGGGTTGTTTGATTTTGTATATTTATTTGATTGATTTCAGTTTATTAGATTTTTCTAGTGATACAAAGTCTTTTTAAGTATTGTGTAATTTTCTGAAAAATTCTCGTTGATGGCAGAAAAAATGCATAACAGTGATTCTTAATAAATTTTAGAAAAACGAAGCTCCATTGTAGTGATAAAGAGGTCATACTCGACAGAGGCCATGTCGCAGTGAAAAGATATGAAAAAAAGGTTCATTTTTAATTTTCCTCACCGCTGAATTACTTTCAGAACATTAATAGAATCTCGTCATCTTTGATTTTTGCTGTCTTAATAAGTGTGTCGAAACTTACTTTTATTTAACTCGTATGAAAATCTAGTTCAATATGCTTATATTTTTACTGCTTTTTCCTTAGCGTGCGAAAATTCCATTTTTAGAAAACCAATCAATGGAAATAGAATAGAAGAAAGTTGTAGTTTCAATTTATGAGTAACTTTATTCTATCTGAACTCTTTAGGTGCATACTGAAGAATTTTATCCTTCTGTTATTGAACCGTCATTTGGTATTGGAAGGATAATGTACAGCGTTTTGGAGCATTCTTTTCGTCAGCGTGAAGGTGACGAACAACGACTGGTATTATGTTTAATAATTTTAATATCTGATATTAATTTCTTAGCATGCATTTTTATTGGCTGTTTTTCTTAGCTCAGTATGCAGCCTTATATATCTTATTTTGTAGTATTTCGCATTACAACCAATTGTCGCTCCAATTAAGTGTTCTATCTTACCAATATCAGCGAATTCTCGATTTAAGCTTATTATGGCTGCAGTGCGCTCTGAGCTTGCCAAATATTCTGTTAGCTATAAACAGGTTTTATTTTCAGACATGTGAAAATTGTAAGTGTTGCCTTTTTTTAAGATGCTACTTTAATATTTTAATGTACTATGATTAGTTAAATGCACTATTTTTATTGCAATGATTAGGACGACAGCAGTGGTTCACTAGGTCGGCGCTATGCTAGAACAGATGCTATAGGAATACCTTTTGCTATAACAATTGATTTTGAATCGGAGGTGGAACCGTGGACTGTAACTTTACGTTATTCAGTAACAATGGACCAAGTTCGGCTGAAGGTTGCAAGTTTCTTCACGTTTATTTTCGCAAACCCAAAATTCGCAAAAAAATTACTACGAAAATCACTGATAGAAATGTTATAGCTTTTTAAGAGCGTAGAATTTAAACTGTCTGGCTTTTTTCTATTATATAAATTATAATATGATATTTCTTCTCTAGAACAATGTAAAAATATAATTTTCAAATGTACTTTGTGAGTTGTTTGTTGTAGGTGAGTGATGTTGGAAAGATAGTCGCAGATTTATCCTCTGAAGTAATGTCCTGGAATGAGGTTCAGCAAGTTTATCCAAAATTTGAACAAAAATGTGCTGCTTAATACGGAAGTATTAACAACACTCTAATTAAATTTTGGAACGATTATTAAGTGAAGAAAAAAAATGGTACTTCAAATATGGAAATGTTTTCATTGCTTTGTTTTCTCTTGTGGTGATCGTTTCTTTTATTTTTTTGTTTACTTTTTGTTAATCGTCTTCGGTGGAGTTTTGTTATTCTGATTCACAGTCTTATCAAGTTAAAAGCACAAAACAGTTGAATAAATGTAAATATAATATCAAAATAAAATTAGTCGAGTAATTAATGATCACAAAATAATGGTTATCAGTTTTTATCATTTAATATTCATATTGAAAGGTCTACTATCCTCTCAAGTTCGAATTTATTGAAACATATACTGTGAATAAAGTGGGGGCCGTGATAAAAATTTTAGGAACTAGAGTTGAGATCGAATTAAACATATTAAGCAAGCTTAAAGATATGGCAGATGTTATTTGCAGAAAAATAGTAGCCACAGCATAAAGGTAAATTAATTATCACTGGATAAACTGCAAACAGTATCTGAATAAATTCCCCAATGTGGAGGAGTGGGTTTTGTATTGCACGGTTGTCGTCGTTTACGAATTATATACGTAAAGCACAGTAGTAAAATCACAATTGGCACTACAGCTGAGAAGACGAGGACTGTAATGAGAAGATACGAAGATGGGCAGTTAATACTTTGGGCAGTTACTTCGCTTTTTTGGTTAGAATCTGAAATTTCGTTTTGGTGGTAACCCATATATATGAACTAAACCATTGAGAACATTAGTGTTAATCATGTATAGTATTAGACAGTTTCTTCTCTTCAGTCCAGCAGTGTACTTCCTGCGAAAATTTGAATTCAAGGATGATTAAACTGAGAACCAGAACCAGTTAAATTATTCTACATAAATTCAGTTGAAATGAGAAGATTGAGGCAAGGGGTATTATATTCATCATATAACATAACTAATTCTATAGCATACGCCTTAGAGCTTAGAACAGTCTTGTTTATTGTCTCTACTTGTGATTTTGGAATAAAGGAGACTTACGTATCTCATCAGCGTGTATTTCTACTGGAGGTTGCATCTCAAGTATAGTTAATAATTTCATTACTTTAATTTGCGATTCTCGACGTAAACGACCATTCACAGCAATTTGGGTATCATTTGTCCTGCATTGCTGTAATTGAGTTTTTTTTAATGAAAAATGATAATGACACATACAATGAATTCAGTTGAAGATTGGTGAAATGATGTTTTTATCAAACTATCATTTGAATTATTGTCACCGTGTTATGAGGAAAAAATGGTATTTTATATTTGTTATTAACAAACATACATGTACTTCAGAGTAAGTTATTAAGTTTGTACTTAAGTATAATATCTTGAAATTGAGTTTGTACTTCAGTACAATATTTTGAATTACTTTTATTTCAGTGCAGCATTTCGTTTAGTTTTGATTTCAACTTTCTATCACTCAATCAAACTAATCTTAGAAAATCGATCAGGTGTTGATAATTTTAAGTAAATATATCAAGTATGTATGTATATAAATATATACTTACCTTATGTCCACATTTATGTATACAAGGACGTGCTTGACATTTAAAATATACAAACTGTGAG